GGAGACAGAGTCTGGTTCTGTTGACCAGGCTGAAGTACAGTGGCATGATCTTAGCTCACTGCAACCTCTGCCTCCTAGATTCAAGCAATTCTCCTGCCTCATCCTCCCAAATAGCTGGGATTACAGGCGTGTACCACCAAGCCCAGCTAATTTGTTTGTATTTTCAGTAGAGACAGTGTTTTGCTATGTTGGCCTGGCTGGTCTCCAACTCTTGGCCTTAAGTGATCTACCCCTCAGCCTCCCACAGTGCTGGGATTTACAGGCATGAGCCACTGTGCCCGGTTAACATTTTTTCTTATAAATTACCTAGCCTCAGACATTCCTTTGTAACAATGCAAAATGGACTCAGACGGGCATTGTGACCACCGGCTGGTCTTTTGCCCTGTTCTTCTCAAGTCCTTTGAGAGGGTAGGAAATGACCCTTTTTCTTTTCTTTTTCTTTTTTTTTGAGATGGAATCTCACTCTGTCTCCCAGGCAGGAGTGCAATGCACTTCCGCCTTCCGGTTTCAAGCAATTCTCCTGCCTCAGCCTCCCGAGTAGCTGTGATTACAGGCGCCTGCCACCAAAAATCTGGCTAATTTTTGTATTTTTAGTAAAGGTGGGGTTTCACCATATTGGTCAGGCTGGTCTCGAACTCCTGACCATGTGATCCACTGACTTTGACCTCCCAAAGTGCTGGGATTAGAGGCATGAACCATTGTGCCCGGCCACGTCACTTAAACTCTCTAAGCCTCAGTTTCCCGTTTCCTTACCTGCAAAATGAGGGGATAGCCTAGATAATTCCTGTGATTCTTTTTAGATCAGATGGTAGTAAACTAATGCTGTGGTTTAACAGCGTGCCTGCCATACACACATTACTTCCCTTGTATCACAATGCCTGTCCAATGCTCACAGTATTAGAGTGACATGTTAGAATCCCCACATCACAGATGAGCAAACCAGGCCCCGAGAGCTTATGTGATTTGTCCTAAGTGATGGAACTTCTAAGTGGGCAGATAGAACGTGAACCAATATGTCTGGATCCAAACTCTCGGCCTTCTCCATAATGTCTCTGTGATGTCTCTATGCAAGGCAGAGTGACTCCATCTTGGATGCTAATCTGCCATGTTGACTGTTGATTAGCTCCAATTTCAGGAACGCCTCTAAGATTTCTATTCTCTCTCCAGTTCTTTGTGTAAGAGCAAGTACTTACTGTGCGTCCTGCCCTTAAAGAGATTCACGTACTATTCTCGCCTTTCCCTACGATTGTCCTACACATTCCTTCCCCATGGTATCTAAGCCCTGGTTCTGTCGTAAGGGGCTGGCATTCAGTGTCTTGTCTTGCAGCTACCCTGGATATTGTGGTTTCTGTTCACAGGTCTCTATGAAATGTTTCCTTCTTGAAAACTAAATTTGGCGCTTCTTTCTTTGGCCTCTCTGCATCCTCGGACTTCGGGGTAGGTTTGCGTAGACCTGCCCTCCGCAGGACGGTCCCCCAGGTACCCGTTGATCTGAACTTGACAATAGCTCTCGAATCTTCCTCCTCTCCTCATGTCTGTCTTAGTCCATGTGTGCTGGACATTCTCTATCTTCCTCTCCATTCCATTCTCCACCACTTTGCGGCTCTGACCTGGGAGACTGAGCTCCATAGACTGCGTCACCCGAGCTGCCGTAACCTCCACCTTCTGATTGGGTCCAGCCAATGGGAAGCATTGAGGATTGGAGGGTGATAGGAGAGACACTGGGGCATTTAGTCACTGCTTTCCCTGCTCATGTCCCCGATGGGCTGCAGGTGGGAGAGGCTGTGCTCCTTCAACCAAGGCCACAGCTCCCTCTGGGAGGTCCCTTTCCCACAGCGACAGCTTCCAGAGGGTTCTAGTAATGCCATCCTGCTGTCTTACTCCTGCAGTCCTGGGGCTGACAATGGCTTCCCTTGGTTGTAGTCCTGCCTTCTTGCCCCTCACTCATTCCCTTATTCCTGCCCTTACCTGTAAACAGTCTCCTCACCCAGCTCTGTTCCATTCATTCCTGGTTTGGTTGAGGCCTCTGCTCCCTGCAGGGACTGGCGGATAGGCCAAGCTACCTTGAACTCCTTACCTTGACTCCTGTTAGAGCCTGAGCAATCTTCCTGCATCTTCCCTTGCCCTCTTCCAAGTCATTCTCCACGGAGCCACCAGAGCATTTTGAGGCAACATGCTTAGAACTCTTGGATGCTTGGCTGGATGTGGTGGCTCATGCCTGTTATCCCAGCAATTTGGGAGGCCGAGGCAGGTGGATCACCTGAGGTCAGGAGTTCGAGACAAGCCTATCCAACATGGTGAAGCCCCACCTCTACAAAAAATACAAAAATTAGCTGGGTGTGATGTGATCCCAGCCACACGTGCCTGTAATCCTGGCTACTCAGGAGTCTGAGCCACGAGAATTGCTTGAACCTGGGAGGCAGAGGCTGCAGTGAGCTGAGACGCTGCCATTGCACTCCAGCCTGGGAGACAGAGCGAGACTCCATTTTAAAAAAAGAACTCTCAGGTGGTTTCTCTGTATCAGTCTTAGGAAAAAGGCTGAAATCATGACATGACCTGCAAGGCCCCACCTGAGCGAGGCCCTGCCTACACTACCAGCTCCTTCCACCTCTGTCTTCTCCATCCTCAGGACACTAGCCTCTTTCGCTCCCTAATGATTCTCTGCTCCCTCCCTTTGCCTGCTCTGTTCCCGCCCCAGCTGCCCCTTCCCTGCTCTGTGAATTCCTCCTCCTGAAAATCTCTGCTGAACTGCAGTTTCTGAGAGAAGCCTTTCTGACCCCAAGTCAGGGCAGTTTTCCTAGAAGAGCCCTCTCTCCCTTCTTTCATTCATGCCCAGCAGTGCTGATCACCAGGTGGTAACTAACCCCTACGACAACAGAGACCACCAAGCCCTACCCAAAGGCAGTCCCAACCTGAGTGGGTCCTCAGTAAGTGTTGGCTGATTGAATCAATCAGGACTCCGTAGGAACCGCCCACGTGCCCCACCTGACACAAGGCTTGAGATCCCGGGATGCAGACACGTAGAGGCACTGCTCCGCCCTGTTCTCCAGCTCCTGGCCTCTCAGAACAGCCAGGTGCAGGGTGACAGCAGAATCAGGAGGCGGCAGGCAGGATGCTGGAACGACCAGTTCCCTCTGGTCTGTGCGAAGCAGCTGCCTCTCAACACAGCGGCTCCACTGAACCCAGCAATGCCCTGAGAGAAATGGACAGACATTGTTACCCACCAGGAGCCCTGAACTTGGCACACACTGCTACCTTCTGGTTTGGAGTTTTTAGAAGAAGGGGATCATGAATAATAACATCAGCTCCAAATGGAGATTTTAAATTTTTTTGTAATGTCACTTTTATTATTGATTGAGTGATTGATTGAGATGGAGTTTCACTTTTGTTGCCAAAGCTGGAGTGCAATGACATCATCTCGGCTCACTGAAACCTCTACTTCCTGGGTTCAAACGATTCTCCTGCCTCAGCCTCCAGAGTAGCTAGGATTATAGGCACGCACCACTATGCCCAGCTAATTTTTGTATTTTTACTGGAGATGGGGCTTCAACATGTTGACGAGGCTGGTCTCGAACTCCCAACCTCCGGTGATCCACCTGCCTTGGCCTCCCAAAGTGGTGGGATTATAGGTGTGAGCCACTGCGCCCTGCCAAAATGTCACTTTTAATGCAGGTTGCAGAAATGGTGCTGTGGAGGGATGCTTTTGGGAATATGAATCATACTTCACCCAAACTCTGAGCAAACCTGCAGGATGTGGTTGGCTTGTTTTGCACTAGTGAGTTGCACTGGTGCTCAGGCAGGCATGTAGCAGGAGAGGGACCAGGAGGATCTATGGCCCCGGGAGAAGGTCCAGGGCAGCTTCTTATCCTGGTGCAATTGTCATTCCCTGTGGATGAGGCTGTCCATAGCTCCATGTCCCAGTAGGCTAGTGTGGGGTACTGCCATCTGGGAGGCTGCACCTCTGTCTGGGAGGCTGCACCTCTGTCTGGGAGGCTGCACCTCTGTCTAGGAGGCTGTACCTCTGTCTGGGAGGCTGCACCTCTGTCTGGGAGGCTGTACCTCTGTCTGGGAGGCTGCACCTCTGTCTGAGAGGCTGCTGTGTCACCTCCTGCTTTATGTTAGCAGCTCCCTAAGTTTCTGTATCCTCTGCCCTTCAACTCTATTGACAGATGTTTACGCATCAGTACTTCACTTCCCACCATCTCCAATATGGTGGCACATATAGCAGGAGAGAGGCCAGGAGGATCTATAGCCCTGGGAGAATATTCCCAATATTCCTGGGAATATTCCAAGAATTCTAAGATTCCCAGGATATATAGCCCCAGGAGAGTATTCCCAAGGTATATTCCCTGAGTATATTTCCAAACTGTGTTCAGAGTTCAGGCTCATCAGCTCAATCACCTAAACTCTAAACTTGCATCCTCTGTGTTCAGGTAATGAGAATGAATATTCAGAAGGACTTCAAGACCACGTAACAATTAATACCAAAAACCTTACAATGTTGCATGAATTTTGACCCAGCTATTCCATTTCTAGAAATTTATGAAAGTAACCACAGTTATAAATAGAGATTCAACTGTATATGAGCAAACAATTTAAAACAATCTAAATGTCCAAAAAGAGGCTAAAGAAATGATCACACAACCGCCAGATGCGGAGGCTCACGCATAATCCCAGCACTTTGGGAGGCCGAGGCAGGCAGATCACCTGAGGTCAGGAATTTGAAACCAGCCTGGACAGCATGGTGAAACCTCATCTCTACTAAAAATACAAAAATTAGTTGGGGGTGGTGGCGCATGCCTGTAATCCCAGCTACTTGGGAAGCTGAGGCAGGTGAATTGCTTGAACCTGGGAGGGAGGGGTTGCAGTGAGCCAACATTACCAATTGCACTACAGCCTGGGTGACAGAGTAAGACTCCATCTCAAAAATTAAAAAAAAAAAAAAAAAAAAAAAAAAGAGGCCGGGCTGGAATTACAGGCATGTGTCACCATGCCTGGCTAATTTTTTTATTTTTTAGCAGAGATGGGGTTTTGTCACATTGGACAGGCTGGTCTGGAACTCCTTACGTAAAGTGATCCTTCCACCTCAGCCTCCCAAAGTGATGGGATTACAGGCACAAGCCACTGCACCCGGCCCATTTATTTTATTTCTAAAAGGTAAAAGAATGTGATGTAGCTAGTATACATGCCTGTAAAAAACGAGGATACCATAGCTACAATGTGAGTGCTCGTGTTGCCATTTTGGTTTGCTGGAAAATTCCCGACTCACTTCCTCCTTCTAGATTCTCTCCCTAGGGATATACCAAGGGGCTGGGGTAAGGGGAGGAGTTCACGTGAGAGGGGAGGAGCATTTTATCCCTGTTGTTTGGAAATGCCAGCTTGTGGACCAGCTTTTCAGGTTTTATTATTGTTTTAAAATCCTTTAGATCCCCTCACTGCCTGCATTCAGCGCCACCCTTGTTCTGTCACTGCTTTCTCCACCTCCTGTTTCTTTGCTTTCTTTCTTTTTTATTTATTTATTTATCTAGAGATGGAGTCTTGCTCTGTCTCGCAGGCTGGAGTGCAGTGATGCGATCTTGGCTTACTACAATCTCCACCTTCCAGATTCAAACAATTCTCCTGCCTCAGCCGCTTGAGTAGCTGGAATTAACAGTGCGCACCACCATGCCTGGCTAATTTTTGTATTTTTAGTAGAGACAGGGTTTCGCCACGTTGACCAGGCTGGTCTCAATCTCCTGACCTCCAGCGATCCATCTGCCTTGGCCTCCCAAATTGCTGGGATTACAGGCATGAGCCACCAAGCCCGGCCTCACCTCCTATTTCCATGGAATTTGCAAGCTCTGGGAAGTACAAGTTACACAAAAATGTCAGGCATAGGGAAAGCTGGTGTGAAGATTAAGAAAAAGAACAGCAAAATCTGACTGCTGCTCACTGCTTCTTGGTGAAACAGGACAATTCAAGAACTCTATCGTCACCCACCACATGACCATTGGAAGCGTAAATCCTTGTCATTGTCCAGCCAGTCCAGGGTCACTGCTGTGAAAGGATCCACGTATAGACCAGGTTGGATATACACCTTCATGTCGCCTTCTTCTTTCTGCAGAAAAAGCAGCCGGCTGGTGAGACTCCAGCTACAGGGAGCTCAGCCTCACTGTGGGGTGCTGTTGGCACCCGCCTTTCACCCCAGAGCAGTCCGCACCAAGAGCAGCCACAGTGTAAGGTGTGGAGTGGAGACAGGCCCTAGCCAATACCCCCTGACTTTCTTCCCCTCATGGGGCGTGGAGTCGGTGGCTCAGGATCCCTGGGTAAGTCACGTTATTCTGAGTGTGGGCTGGGGGCACACGGGTGTTCCTGGAGTAAGTTCTGCTGGGACTTGTTAAACAGCTCAGGCTGTGGAGCCTCTGGCTCAAGCCCCAAAGTCCTGACCTGAAATAACACGGGGCTACAATGGAACTGAACCCTCAGGGGCCTTTCGTGGCTTGAGAATAAAATCTAAACTTCTTGCCTTGGCCCCTAAGACCCCGCGTGATCTGGCCTCTGTCCATTTCTCTGTAATCTCCTCCATCCCTCTCCTCCTCCAGGCTACAGCCAGACTGGCCTCAGGCCGTTGCCTGCCTCTGATCTCTGCCCACTCAGAAAGCTCTTGTTCTGCTTTCCAGCATGGCTGTCTGCCTTATCTTCATGCGTCCACTTACACATCACCTCTGGAGAGGCCATGTCCGATCACATCAGCCAGACCACGCTGTTCATTACTATCACTGCACCTACTGGTTCTTATTAGACACTTACCACAATTCCTAATTCTATGATAATTTGTTTGTTGGAGTTTTTGGTGTTCTTTCTGTTTTTGAGACAGGGTATTACTCTGTCCCCCAGGCTGGAGTGCAGTGGCACAGCCATGGCTCACTACAGCCTCAGCCTCTCAGGCTCAGGCTGTCCTCCCACCTCAGTGTCCCAAGTAGCTGGGACCACAGCCATGCACCTTATGCCTGGCTAATTTTTATTTTTATTTTTAATTTTTTTGGTAGAGATGTGGGTCTCACTTTGTGGCTCAGGTTGGTCTCAAACTCCTGCGTTCAAGTGATCCTTCCACCTCGGCTTCCCAAAGTGCTGGGATTACAGCCCTGGGCCACCGTACCTGGCCAATATGTTCGTTAGTATCACTCAGCAAGATTCATGAAGGCAGGGACCATACGTGCTTATTCACCATGGCATTCCCAGCCCCTAATACTAAGCCTTGAACATTGTAGATGCCTAATAAGTCTTTGTTATAGAATAACTGCATGCATGAACAAGGTCAACAGCAAGGAGATGAACCTAGTGATGTTATAAAAAACTAAAGAGCCTGGGCCTGTTTTCTTTTTTCCTACTTTTTCTCTTTTTTTTTTTTTTTTTTTTTTTGAGATGAAGTCTCACTCTGTCACCCAGGCTGGAGTGCAGTGGCATGATCTCAGCTCACTGCAACGTCTGCCTGCTGAATTCAAGCAATTCTTCTGCCTCAGCCTCCTGAGTAGCTGGGACTACAAGTGCGTGCCACCACACTGGGCTAAGTTTTGTGTTTTTAGTAGAGACGGAATTTCACCATATTGGCCAGGCTGGTCTTGATCCAGCCTCATGGTCCGCCTGCCTCGGCCTCCCAAACTGCTGGGATTACAGGTGTGAGCCACCACGCCGGGCCTCTGCTTTCTAAATATAAGCATTAAAAGCAATACATTTCTCTCTGAGCACTGCTTTATCTGCATTCCACAAATTTGCATAGGCTGTACTGTCATTGCAATCCAGTTAGAAATATTCTCTAATTTTCCTAGTGATTTCTTCTTGATCTGTTGATTTTTTTAGAAGTGTGCTTTTTAATTGCCAAGATATCTAACAGATATCTACATATGCTAGACAGCTTATTATCAATTTACAAGGTAACTCTGTTGTGATTAGACAACATGCTTTGTTTGAATTCAGTCATTTTGGGACTCTTTTCAAATGGAAGAAGCCTCAGGGATTCTTAGCGCTCTGGCTCTTGGTACCGACAAACCAAAACTCAAAACTAAAACCGAGAGCTTGAACATCTTTTCCTTGTGAGGTTAAATTTAAAAAAAATAATAATACTCACATTCTTTCCTTCAGCATTTGTCCCAGATGGTTCTTGGAGACTGGAAGGGGCTGTGAATACAGCGAGAATGGGTATCAAGCTTTGGTTGGAAACCTTATAAAAGGTTGTCAAAAAGTAGAGTCAGACAGTCATATGGAAAATGCTCCCAGGGGCATCAGCCTGTCTTTGAAAATGGTTTTAGGGAGCATAGCAAACATTCAGGTCACAGGGAAATGGATTAAAAGTGAGCCATCACGTCCACCTCTGGACTGAAGACGTCTCTTTTGTAGTTAAGAAAGAGGCAGCTGTCAATGCAGATAAAACACAAGATTAGATTCAGACGGATGCAGCTATGCATTGCCATTTTCTTTTCAACCCAGTGGCACAATCTCAGCTCACTGCAACCTCCGCCTCCAAGGTTCAAGTGATTCTCCTGCCTCCACCTCCTGGGTAGCAGGGATTACAGGTACCCACCACCACACCCAGCTAATTCTTTTTACTTTTAGCAGAAATGGGGTTTCACCATGTTGGCCAGGCTAGTCTTGAACTCCTGACCTCAGGTGATCCACCCATCTCGGCCTCCCAAAGGGCTGGGATTACAGGCGTGAGCCACCATGCCTGGCCTGCACTGTTAATGTTTAAAAACCAGTAAAGGAGATGGGAGTGAGGAGCCCTGATTTGTAGCGTTTGTCAATTTCCATGGTATAAACCCTCACACCAAGCTATAAACCTGATGCTACCAAATATAGAGTGAGGAGAAATGAGCATGCTCACCTCTGGCAAGTGGGTGGAGTCGGCACCTCACACTATGCTGTGTTTTCAGATTCTCTTATTGGCCTCCTATTGGCTACATGAACTGGGCGGGTGACTTATCCTCTCTGAGTCTTGGCTTCCTCATCTGTAAAAATGCCTAGAGGCCATCCCAATTTCTTAGGGCTCCGGAAAGACTGAATGCAGTGCTGTTTATAGAATTGCTTTGTAAACTATACATCTAGGAAGAATGTTAGTGTGTCAACTTTAAATAATGGAAAAAGGTACACTCAATTGATGTTTCTGAAATATAAATATATATGTATATATATATTTTTTTGAGATGAAGTCTAGCTTTGTCATCCAGGCTGTAGTGCAGTGGCACAATCTCAGCTCACTGCAACCTGTACCTCCCAGGTTCAAGCGATTCTTCTGTGCTGAGTGGCTGGGATTATAGGTGCGCACCACCGCACCCAGCTAATTTTTGTATTTTTAGTAGAGGCGGAGTTTTGCCATGTTGGCCAGGTTGGTCTTGAACTCCTGACCTCAAGTGATCCACTGCCTCGGCCTCCCAAAGTGCTGGGATTGCAGGCATGAGCCACGGTGCCCAGCTGGCTTTTCATTTTCTGAGCTGATAAAATTTCCTTTTGACCCAAGCTAGTTTTAGCTTCTTTTCTGTCCCTTGCTACTTGAATGTCCTAGCAAACATATTCCAGTGAACTCTAAGTCAGTGATGGCAACTGTCACCTAGCTCCCCACCAGCCATCACCCCCGCTTTCCTCCTGGCAGCTAGAATCCAGCTTCTCCCACAGAACCTGAAAATGCTGGATATCTGCTTTTCCAGTGCACTTTATAGCTGGAGACAGGACCCTGCTTTGGTCATGATACCTCAGATGATGATTGCTTAGAGTGAGTGGGAAAGACTTTTACCCTAACAAAAAGAGGTGCACAGGAGGAAACCCTTTCTTCCACTGCTGGATAATGCTGGGTTGACATGCAATGTCTGGAACTGCAGCAGTCACTTTGACTCCTTGAGCAACAACCCTAAGGCAGTCCCACAGCACTAAGGATGGCAGAGCAGAAAGATAGACTCAGGCTGGTTTGTTGCTGGCATCACTGAGCTACCTAGCCAACCCTGGAGCTGCTTACCTCCTACTTCTTATGTGAGACAAGAAAGCCCTGACTCTGAAGCCATTTAGGTTGGACTTGCTGTTACTTGCAGCTTAAAGCATCATAGTGAATGCAAACTCTTGTTTTAGGATTCTGTATCAGTGGTTAAATGTTTTACTGTAAACATCATTGCCTCCTTAGAATAACTGGGGAATTCTAACCATCTGTAGAGCAAGATACATATTCAGAGCCCTGATTGGAAAGGCCCCTCACTAGAGCCCAAGCAGGTGAAACGGCCTGGACTCCTGGTAGAAGGTGTTACGCCCCCTTGCAGAAACACCTTGCCTGTGATAGTGATGTTCCCGATGTCCAGACTCAGGCTGGAGAAGGCATTCCTCACCAGGATGGTGACCAGAAAGGTGCCTGCAATACAAAGGACTCAGAGTCACAGCTGTTGTCATTAATTTGACCGCTTGAACCCAGCTTGCTTCTCTAGTCCACTGATGCCTCCAACGAAGTGTTTCACCTCTGAGCATTTAAGGAATCCCTGCTGTATGCCAGGCATGGTGCAAGGCTCTGGGGACACAGAGATGAAGGAATTTGCTTCTTGTCCTCAAGAGTCTTATCATGTAGTAGTCATGTAGAACAGTGAATGCCAAACCATGGGAGGAATTGGCATAGGGGCATTGTGGGCATTGAGTGGGGCCACTTCAACCTCAGGAGAGAAAGAAATGGTTCACAGGATGGAGCCAGGGCTGGAGCTAAATTCCAATGGTGAAGTAGGTGCTCGATAGATAAGACTGGGGATTTCCAGGAGGAAGAGACATGGCAGGATTCTGAGAATGGTGGAGAGAGTGGAGAAGGAATTTTCTTTTTCTCAGCAGGGTCTCACTCTATCATCCAGACTAGAATGCAGTGGCACAGTCTCAGCTCAGCACAACCTCTGCCTCCCAGGCTCAAGCGATTCTCCTGCCTCAGTTTCCCAAGTAGCTGGAATTATAGGCACATGCCACCACGCCCAGCTAATTTTGGTATTTTTAGTAGAGATGGGGTTTCGCCACGTTGGCCAGGCTTGGAGAAGGATGTATAAGGTTTATTTAGATGCATGTGTGTCCCATTCCTTCTCCCTAATGGGGAAGGGGTGGTGGGGAGGGGCTACCTTCTGTCTTCTCAAGCCCAGAGAGAAGCGCTTCAGAGCGGAGCCTTCCTTGGAAAGCCTGGTTTGTGTTTGTTTGGGGTCTGTGTGGAGAGGCTCCATACTAATGCCCTTGAAGGAACAGTCTGTGATAGGAAGATGTGTGCGTGGGGAGGGGGCGGGAGGAAGGGGCTGCATTTGGCTGGGAGTAGGTCAAGAAATGGGTCAGAGTTTTCTGTGGACCAGATGTGTGCCTTGGGGAGAGGGGTGCTGATGAGGGCAGAGAGAATGAAGAGTCCAAGAGAGAGAGGGGAGGTGGCCAGGGAGAAGCAGCCACGGCATGTGGCCAGCTAAAAGGGAGGCATCCCCTACCATCCCAGGAGCAAAGGTCTATAAGGCCCAGCTGGGGTTCCCAACAACCCAGAAAAGCTCCTACAAGGAAGAGGCAGCCTTGGCCAGGTGCGGTGGCTCACACCTGTAATCTCAGCACTTTGGGAGGCCGAGGCAGGCAGATCACCTAAGGTCAGGAGTTCGAAGCCAGCCTGACCAACATAGAGAAATCCCGTCTTTACTAAAAATACAAAATTTGCCGGGCGTGGTGGCGAATGCCTGTAGTCCCAGCTACTCCGGAGGCGGAGGCAGGAGAATCGCTTAAACCCAGGAGGCGGAGGTTGTAGTGATCTGAGATCGCACCGATCCAATCCTCTCCAGCCTGGGCAACAAGAGCAAAACTCCATCAAGAAAGAGAGAGAGAGAGAAAAGGAAGGGAGGGGGGAGGGAGGGAGAGAGGGAGGGAGGGAGAGAAAAAGCAAGAAGAAAGGAAAGAAAGAAGCAGCTTCAAAAATTTGCTAGGCCCTAAGAACCCCGCCAGCCAGGACTGGGCCAGCACCACCAAGTGCAAATGTCCTGTCCTGTCCTGTTCTCTTTTCATCCTTCCACCTCTGGAGTCGTCCAAATCTGTTGGCCTTAGGGGCAGGAAAATTCTGTTAATCATCTAATACAGAGCAGGAAGGTCACAAAGCACGCGGAGATTTTATCAGAGAGGGATCAGCTTCCCCTTCGGAGTGGCCTTTATAGCAGTGAATTTTATGGAAGGAGTAATTTTTATAGGTGACAAAGCAGAATCTGCATCTGGTGTGATTTCCCAGCTGCAGCAGCCTCCAGACTTTCCCTCCTCCAACCCGGACCCTTGGGATCTGGCAAAGACCCGGTGGTTTTCTTCTCGATCCTATGGTGCCTTCTGCTATCTGGTTTGTGGAGTTGCTCGCAGAGAGCATGGTAACCCCACACCTGCACAGTGTCCCCCGTTTTCTATCGCACCTCTGAGATCCAGGGGGAGCTACGGGCAGGTCCTGGATAGGCCGGAGACTCTGCCATTCTCATCACATTTGTGCCTGCTGATCTCATCACAGGGCACTCAAGGACTCTCTGTTCCTTCCGATTAAGTGCACATGGGCACTGTGGCCACCTCCACCCCTCACCCCCCCGGCTGGTGCCTGCCAGTCTGTCCTCCAATCAGCATCATGGCGAATACTTCTGAGATAGGCTAGAGATGGGACTTGGACCCCTGCCCTGCCTCATTGAGGACTCGGCTACAAGCTGGCAGGGGGAGGGTGGCCCATGGCAGGCACGGACCGCAGTCAGATCATCCAGACCGTGCACCATGAATCTTGCTCAAGATACCATACCCACTGATTGCAGACTTTGAAGAAACTGAAACAAACAGCTCCCATCTTAAATCTTACTCGAGGGAGTTAACCCTATGGCCTACATGCACAGAAGACCAGAAAAATCACCAGTCTTTACCCTTTGCCTCATTGTAATACTAAAAATCGTACCAAGGGGTGGAGATTTAACATGCTAATGAGACATGCCACACATCAAGAAGCATGTGACCAGACTGCACAGGCACTGAAAATTCCCCACCCTCACAATCTTAAACATCACCCTTTTCCTACCCTACCTCCTTTAAGAACGCCAGGCACGGTGGCTCATGCCTGTAATCCCAGCACTTTGGGAGGTCGAGGTGGGTAGATCATGTGGGATCAGGAGTTCAAGTCCAGCCTGGCCAACAAAGTGAAACCCCATCTCTGCTAAAACACAAAAATTAGTCGGGCATGGTGGTGCATGCCTGTAGTCTCAGCTACTCAGGAGGTTGAGGCAGGAGAATCACTTGAACCCTGGAGGTGCAGGTTGAAGCGAGCCGAGATGACGCCACTACACTCCAGCCTGGGCGACAGAGTGAGACTCTGTCTCAAAAAATAATAATAATAAAAAAGGCAGGCCGGGTGCAATGGCTCACCCCTGTAATCCCAGCATTTTGGGAGGCCAAGGCAGGTGGATCGCCTGAGGTCGGGAGTTTGAAACCAGCGGGGCCAAAATGGTGAAACCCCATCTCTACTAAAAACAAACAAACAAAAAAAACAAAAAATCGGGCCTGGTGGTGCACATCAGTAATCCCAGCTGCTTGGGAGGCTGAGGCACAAGAATTGCTTGAACCCAGGAGGCAGAGGTTGCAGCGAGCTGAGATCGTGCCACTGTACTCTAGCCTGGGCGACAGAGCAAGACTCAATCTCAAAAACAAACAAACAAAACAAAAAACGCCCTCCCAACTCTCTTCAGAGAGTCAACCCCTGAACTTCCACTCCAGTGCTGCCTCGTTTACGTTTGAACATAAGCCTCTAATAAAAGCGTCGTCCGGGAAAGTGTGAGTATGTGAGAGCCTAAGACCCCGTGGCCGGCAAGGCTTCCTCGCTCCATCACCGTCTCTGCCATCCTTGGTTTTCACCTATCTTTGCCCCTAGGGCATCACCTGCAGTTTCCCAAGCCACACTCTTCTCCAGGGATGTTTGAAGAAATCTGAATATGCCTGCTCTCTTACAGGAGCCCTAAATGGGGGTGATTTGGCAATATCTGACATTTTTATCATCACGACTTGGGGTGCTGGTGCTCCTAGCGTCTCGCGAATAACAGCCAGGGATGCTAAAACTCCTTCAGTACCAGGCCCCAACTGTAACAAGGAATGATCCAGCCCCAAATGTCAGAAGTGGCAACGCTGAGAACCTCTGCAACTGGAAACTCCATGATGGCAGATAACACCTGGCTGTTCCTTCTCTTGTGACCCAGGCAGAGGGCATGGTAACCCCACACCTGCACAGTACCACCCACATCTGTAAACCACATCTATGTCCAGGACATGCTGGAAAACCGGCTGGCAGGACCCTGGGCACCAAGTCAGAAAGGGAAGAGGAGGGGCATCGGAAGGGGAACCACCAACCCCATGTACCTTCAACGGGAACAGCCAGGTGGTAAATCCCAAATGGCTCCCCAGAGCTCACTTGCTTGTGAGAGAAGGTTGCATTGAGTCCTGCCAGCTCAAATGTTGTCTCCTCTGGGGTGCCCTGAGCCACTGAGACATTGATCAATAGGTCCTGTCCAAGTTCCACATGGTCAGAAGCCCAGGAGGCCTGCAACCCGGAAAGCAGCTCCACCAAGTAGATTGTGACGTTCCTGGAGAGTGCGGAGGTGGTGGTGTTGCTGGTGGCTTGGATCTCCAGGCAGTGCTTCCCAGGGCCCATCAGTTTCTGGGTTTCTCTGTCCAGGGTCAGATTGTATGGCAGTGAGCCCCTTTGGGTGGTGGACTCGGTCAGGGCTATGTCACCCGAAAGCACAGTGTAACTGACTTCTGTTCCTAGGTGGGGTAAGAAAAATTGAAGACTGTTGGTACCAGCCATGCGGTTGGTAACACTGTGTCAGTTTAGACTCAGTCTCTGAAGCCTGATTCTGGATATAGACAGGGATACAGATACAGATAGAAAAAAGTATGTAAGGATGTGCCCCTTTCTTCAAATATTCATGGTGATTATCCCTGAGTATTAGGTGAATGAGTGATGTCGTCTTTTTGGGGGTCCTCTCCGTTCATGTGCATATTCTTATTCATACTATGCATGTGTTACCTGAGAACCTAAGTATTTATAATTAAAAAATTACCACATTTAGTTGCCAGAGACATCATGGTCGGGGGAGGAGGAGGACTAAAAGGGAGCATCTCTTAAGGGTGTGGGCCGATTTTTATGCATGAGAATGATCTTCGGGTCTTGTTTTAAGCAGGACCAAGTGAAGCCATTCCTTCAGCCTGTGCTGCTGACTGCCGGAACCCTGCAAACCAACATGAGAACTCAGCCCATTCGTGGTAAGATGGGGCTCCCTTGCAGTTTGCTGATGGTTGTTCTTACTGGATGCTAAATATTGTGGTTGACTCTTAAAATCTGACTTATATCAACAAATTAGGATTCTTTTTTTTTTGAGATGGAGTCTCGCTTTGTTGCCCAGACTAGAGTGCAGTGGCACAACCTTGGCTCACTGCAACCTCTGCTTCCCAGGTTCAAGCAATTCTTCTGCCTCAGTCTCCTGAGTAGCTGGGACTACAGGCGCCCACCACCATGCCCAGCTAATTTGTGTATTTTTAGTAGAAACAGGGTTTCACCGTATTGGCCAGACTGGTCTCGAACTCCTGGCCTCGTGATCCACCTGCCTCGGCCTCCCAAAGTGTTGGGATTACAGGCATGAGCCATCGCCTCTGGCAGGATTCTTTCCAATAAAAACCAAGCTAGTATAGTTCTTGTTTGAATAATGGTGATGATGATGATGATGATTTTGATGACTATGATGTAAGCCCCATAAGAATGGAAACGCTGACTTTCATATTTACTGCTGCTTCCCCCACACCTGGCACTCAATTACATTAGTAGGATGAGTCAGTAAATGAAGGATTATTTTGTTTCATCAGGTGCACATATGAGCTCTGTTCATCCAACAAGCACAGAAGAACACAGGGGGTTTCCTAAGCACTCTGTTAAAGTCCCATATGGCTTCCATAGTTATTGCAATGAGAGGGCTCCAGGTGGGATGTGAGGTCAAACCGAGCCACTTGCTCATTGCTCTAGCTCTGTGCTGCCCTATTTGCAACAACGGGCCTCTATTCTGATCTTGAACTGGACCTGGGTTTCAGGAAAGACGCTGCCCTGGGTGAGGATGGATCTTAGCCAGAAGGGTCTCTATTTAGAGAAGGAATGATAATTAAAATATTTAACAACCAACACTGCATGGGCACCAACCAATTAGAATGGATGCTCTGATGAATCAGAATAGACACTGAGACCAACAAATAGATGCCATGACCAATCAGAATAGACACTGTGACCAATCAGAATGGACACCGTAACCAATCAAAATAGACATGACAACCCATCAGAGCAGTCTCTGTGACCAATCAGAAAACATACTATGGCCAGGTGCAGTAGCTCATGCCTGTAATCCCAGCACTTTGGGAGGCCAAGACAGGCAGATCACCTGAGGTCAAGAGCTCGAGATCAGCCTTGCCAACATAGCAAAACCCATCTCTACTAAAAATACAAAAAAAATTAACCAGGCATGGTGGCACACACCTGTAGTCCCAGCTACTTGGGAGGCTGAGTCACGAGAATAATTTGAACCCTGGTGATGGAGGCTGCAGTGAGCTGAGATCGCACCACTGTACTCCAGCCTGGGCAACAGAGCAAGACTGTGTCTCAAAAAAAAAAAAAAAAAAATAGAGACTGTAACCAATCAGAATGGACATGACAACCAATCAGAGCAGTATCTGTGACCAATCAGAAAACACACTGTGACCAATCAGAGTGGACCCCAGCCAGAACAGCTGGCATGTATACCAGTGAGTGCAGCTGGATACTGGCCCTGGTGAGGGGCAATGTGACTGTGCCAAGCTAGTCAATGCTGGCTGCAGTGAGGGGGCTCAGGCCCAGTTGGTAGCAGTCTCAGTGCCACCTCATCCTATTCAAATTCCCAACAGGAAGTGACTTGGGAGTTCGGTTCTACAGGGATGCAAAGAAGGGCCTTTGGAAGGCTGGGAGCACTTACTAGCTTTCCAGCCTTCTGACTCTGGGCAAATGTTTTAACCTTTCTGTGTCTTCATTTCCTTATCTGTGAAATGAAGATAATACTAGTATGTGCTGAGTAGGAAAGTTTACGCAAAGCACTTAGAACTGTGCCTGGTACACACTTGGTGCTAAAAAAATGAATAAATGATAGTTTAAAAATGAATTCATCTGGGCGCACTGGCTCATGCCTATAATCCCAGCACTTTGGGAGGCTGAGGTGGTGGATCATCTGAGGTCAAGAGTTTGAGACCAGCCTGACCAACATGGTGAAACCTCATCTCTACTAAATGCAAAAAATTAACCAGGCATGGTGGCTTATGCCTGTAATCCCAGCTACTTGGGAGGCTGAGGCAGGAGAATCACTTGAACCCAGGAAGTGAAGGTTGCAGTGAGCCGAGATTGTACCATTACACTGCACTTGGGCAAAAACAAAAACAAAAACAAACTCAGAAGGTGATCCTTGTTACTATTTAATGTTTTTGTTTTTTTTTTTTGAAACAGGGTCTTAGTCTGTTGGCCTGGCTGGAATGCAGTGGCACAGTCTCAGCTCACTGCAGCCTCAACCTCTCAGGTTCAAGCCATCCTCCCACCTCAGCCACCCATGTAGCTGGGACTATAGGCATGTGCAAGTGTACCTGACTCATTTTTGTACCTTCTGTAGAAATGGGGTCTCACCATGTTGCCTCAAGGCTGGTCTCAAGTGATGCACCTGCCTCAGCCTCCCAAATTGACGGAATTACAGGTATGAGCCACAGTGTCCAGCCCACTATTTATTAAGGCCTGGCAGTTGGATAGGTTTGGAGGAAATCAGGGATTTTATAGCTTGCCTTGATGTGCTCAATTCTGTAGACTCACCTCCATCAAGCTCCACCTGAATCCACAGAGGATCCCCAAAGACAGCCTGGCAAAGGGGGCCGGCTCCTGACTTGGACAGGCCAGGGCACGCAGTCACATTGAGCCTCTCCATCTTGTCCCGCATGATCACTTGCTTCTGAGCTGTCACATGCCACTCGCTGGTTGTACACTCGGCAAACACAGTGAATTCCCCAGGAGATGTGAACTGGTGAGTCACATTGCTGGACACACTGCCGGTCACAGTCAGGGACATTACCAGTGTTGGGAAAACACAAAGACACGCATTTACACACACACTGACAAGGTTTGGATCTGTGCTCCTGCCCAAATCTCATGCTGAATTGTAATCAACATGTTATATGTAAATGGTGCCGCAAAAGAGGCAGCACTCAAATATAAATTTGCTCAGCAAGGCAATTTACTTCTATAGAAGGGTGCAGCTCACAGATGGAACAATGGTGAGCACACACCTGGACAAGGGAGGGAAAGGGGTTCTTATTCCTGATGCAGGTAGCCCCTACTGCTGTGTTGTTCCCTTATTGGCTAGGGTTGGACAACACAGTCCAGTCTAATTCTGATTGGCTCTTTTAAGGGGAACAGGGGTATGAGCCGGAGTGGTGGGGTGGGTAGTTTGGCAGGAAGGACGGTTAGGGGACAGGTCAGAGCAGGTAGTCAGGGATGACTTGGTCAAAGCAGGTGACCGGGGCAGGTGACTGGGGCAGGTGACCAGGATGAGTCAGGACAGAGCAGGGGACTGGGAGAACAGATGTGAACTACTGATTAGAACTGGTGGAAAAGGTTGTTTACTGAAACTGTGAGGAAGTTAAACTTAAAATGGAAGACAAAGAACTGAGCATACTGACATACTGATTCTTTGAAGAGAAACTTGGAGTTCACTGTATCTAACATCCCCAGTGTTGGTGGTGGGACCTGGTGGAAGGTGATTGGCTCATGGGAGCGGTTTCTCGTGAATGGCTTGGCAGCATCCCCTTGGTACTGTTCTCTTTGACAGTGAGTGGGTTCTCACAAGATCTGGTTGTTTAAAAATCCTTGGCTGGCTGGGCGTGGTGGCTCACGCCTGTAATTCCAGCACTTTTGGGAGGCCGAGGTAGGCAGATCACTTGATGTCAGGAGTTTGAGACCAGCCTGGCCAACATGGTGAAACACCGTCTCTACTAAAAATACAAAAATTAGCCGGGCATGGTGGTGCACACCTGTAACCCAGGTACTAAGGAGGCTGAGGCAGGAGGATTGCTTGAACCCAGAAGGCAGAGGTTGCAGTGAGCTGAGATCGCACCACTGCACTCCAGCCTGGGTGACAGAGTAAGACCTTGTCACACACACAAAAAATTATCAAGTGAGTATTAGTAACATTAGCAATAATGTTAACAGCTTAGACCATGTAGTTCCTGGCCTAAAAACCCTGCTGTTATCCTCTGTAGTGGGTGCTGTAGGGCGTCCCCCAGATTCCACCCTTGAAGCCTAAGGCATGCATTCCCCCAATACGCCTATGAGCTGTGGCTGCAGGCTCACAGCTGAATCCATGTCCAGGAGTCCCTTTTAGCCAAAGGGAGCTGCCTTGCTTAAGCCAACCTCCCCTCCCGCAGGCATCCTGCACCACTGAGTGCTCAATGCCAGGGTAAAATGGTCTGGCTCTCTGGCCTCAATTGGAAACAATTCTGAAGGCCATCCCCGCTCAGAGGTTTCTGCAGGATGGGCAAGGCCTCAGTGGCCCCTGCCTTCCAGTTCAACTCTCCTCTTGCCTCATCTTAGTACTCCCTCCCCGTGCTCCACATCAGAGTCTATTTCCTGGTCCCTGTGAGACAAAGCAGCAAACTCAAGGAGACAGGTGTGCTCATTTCTGTTTGCCAGCATATCTCAGGAAGCCCCAACTTTGCAGTGACAGGCAGCCCTCCAGAAGAACACTTTGAAGACAAAACAGAATAGAGCACTCGGCTTCCACGTTTCTAGCCTGAGTCACTATATTCCTAAAAAGATATATGACTCTGTTCCTTTTCTTACATATAAGATAATGTTTGAGATGGATAGTGATTATGCTTCTGCAATATGTAACAAGATTTTTTTTTTTTTTTGAGACAGAGTTTCTCTCTGTTTTCCAGGCTCGAGAGCAGTGGCATGATCTTGACTCACTGCAACCTCCGCCTCTCAGGTTCAAGCGATTCTCCTCCATCAGCCTCCCATGTACCACCACGTCCGGCTAATTTTTGTGTGTTTTTGTTTATTTGTTTGTTTTAGTAGAGATGGGGTTTCACCATGTTGGCCGGGCTGGTCTTGAACTCCTGACTCCAAGTGATCCATCCACCTTGGCCTCCCAAAGTGCTGGGATTACAGGCATGAGCTACCGAAGCCAGCCAACAAGATAAATTTTAGTTGTCTTGAGCCAGATGTACTCTTGCACTCAAACTTTGATGTGATTTTATGTGGACTGAACCTCCACAACCCATATATAAGCTATGGGCTGAAACGCTGTTTGGAGCAGTCTGGCAGAAGCTCTTTGAAAGATTCCTACCAAAAAAAATTAAAAAGAAAGAAAGAAAATCTCCTCCTGGGCGGTGGTCGTCAGTCCACAGTTTGCAGTAAGACTTCTAAATAAAACTAACCATAATTATGTAAAAAGCTTGATTTTGTTTTAGTTGACAGACCCCACCTACGTTAGGTGGGGCATCAAAGGCTCTTCAGGAACAGCCTCCTGCTGAATGTCCCAGCATCTGTCATTTTTCCACAGAAGCCTGAACTCCAGGCATGGGGAGGTGCTTGCAGTCATTTGAATATGTTCCACCCTTTCGGGTCCATGCTGCTCTCTTTTCTCTAGATCCATGGCTTCTACCTTATAATTCAGGTTCCCCCAGACAGGGCTTTAGCTCTAGGTCACGCTAAGGCTTGTATTGTTTTGTGGATTATTGGTTTCCAGACAAATCTCTGCGCTCCCAACATCAGTGTTGGCAGAAGCTGCTCTGATTAATAACGGAAGAACAATGTCAATTCCTAGATCTGACAGTAGGTGGCACTTAGCTAACTAACGCTGGATTCTCACAGATTTCACCACATGCAAATTGTTCTGTAAGGCCAATAATACAATATCAGAAATGTAGAAAATTTTCCATGACAGAGAAACAAAAAGGCCCTCCATGCAAATGAACATGAGGCAAGGTGAAAAGGAGCTTCTAAAAGAGACGTCTTCTGACTTCTATACAATGTAATTCCCCCCATTAGCTCATGTTATTTAACTACAATGGACATGAAGGGTTTGATTTAAAAATCTCACCTCTTAGACTAATGAGGAGTTAACAAAAAGTAGGAGGTTGTACCAATACTTAAAAGAAAAACACAGTGATATTTACACAAACTATGTGGCTTCCGTATACTAAAAAATCAAAATTCGTGCGATTTTTCATGTTGTAAATTGAGTACTGTGGCTGCTGGTATTGATAAGAAGTCATCACAAAGGCATTTCCCACTGTTTATAAAAATGATTTTTAAAGGTAGGTGGCGACTAGGCACAGTGACTCACACCTGTAAGCCCAGAACTTTGAGAGGCCGAGGTGGGCGGATCACCCTAGGTCAGAAGTTCAAGACCAGCCTGGCCAACACGGCGAAACCCCATCTCTACTAAAAATACAAAAATTAGCTGGACATGGTGGAGCACACCTATAGTCCCAGATACTCAGGATGCCGAGGCAGGAGAATCACTCGAACCTGGGAGGTAGAGGTTGCAGTGAGCTGAGATCTCACCACTGCACTCCAGCCTGGGCGATAGAGTGAGACCCTGTATCGAAAAAAAGAAAAGAAAGAGAACAAAAAATCTATGAGGTAGTGTGTTTGCAAAAGTAGCAGCAGGCCGGGCTTAGTGGCCCACGCCTGTAATCTCAACACTTTGAGAGGCTGAGGTGGGTGGATCATGAGGTCAGGAGTTCAAGACAAGCCTGGCCAAGATGCTGAAACCCCATCTCTACTAAAAATACAAAAAATTAGCCAGGCATGGTAGCATGTACCTGTAATCCCAGCTACTCAGGAGGCTGAGGCAGGGAATTGCTTGAACCCAGGAGGCAGAGGTTGCTGTGAGCCAGGATCATACCACTGCACTCCAGCCTGGGCGACAGAGCGAGATTCCATCTCCAAAAAACATAGCAGCAACAGTTCCTCCCATTCCTGAATGGGAGCGCCTTGCAGTGCGGCTCCATGCTCCATCTGTCAGTAGGTGGGAGCTACTTCTCCACCTCTTGAATCTGGTCTTAGCCATGGAAATTGCTTTGGCCAATGGTGTCTTAGAAATGTAACATGAGCAGAGATTTGAAAAATGTTTGCTCATCAGGCTCTGCTGTCATCTGCAGCTAGGGACATTTTGCCACTGTGTGAATGAGCATAGGCTAACCTGTTGGGTGATGAACAGCACATGCCTCTAGCTGACATCCAGCTGACCACTAGACGTGAGTGAGGAAGGTCTTCCTAGACAGCCCACCCCAGCCAACTGCACACAGACACGAAAAGCCACCAGGTCTCCAAAGAACCATAAGAAATGGTAACTTGTTTGAAGCCACCAACTTTTGGGTTGGTTTGTTAGGTGGCAAAAAAACTGATGATAAGACCTGACTCAAGGCTCAGAGATTCCTCTTACCTGGGGGGGTAGTAGGGATCAAAAGTGTGGCCGTCTCCTGTACTAATTATACAGGACAGGTTTCCTATGTAGGGCGAGAGGAGCCATGTCAGAGAGATGGTGACATTGTCAAAGATGAAACTCTCACTGGACACCATCAGCTGCAGGCCTGTGGACCAAAACACAAAATACTGCATGTCCTTGTGAAACAAAATTGCACATTTCTGTTTATAACCTACTCTCTTCTGGCTACCTGTCCAGTATTTTTATGTGGACCTTTCTTTTTGTTTTTTTTTTTTAGACAGGGTCTTGTTCTTTCACCCAGGCTGGATGACAGTGGCACAATCGTGGCTCACCATAGCCTTCATCTGCCCAGGCTCAGGTGATCCTCCCACCTCAGTAGAGACTAAGTAGCTGGGATTACAGGTGTGTACTACCACACACAGCAAATTTTTATTTTTATTTTTATTTTTTGAGACAGAATTTCACTCTGTCACCTAGGCTGGAGGGCAGTGGTGTGATCTTTGCTCACTGCAACCTCTGCCTCCCGGGTTCAAGTGATTCTCCCACCTCAGCCACCCAAGTGCCTGGGACTACAGGTGCATGCCACTACGCCTGGCTAATTTTTGTATTTTTTTGGTAGAGACAGGGTTTCGCCATGTTGGCTGGCTAGTCTAAAACTTTTGACCTCAAGTGATCCACCCTTCCTCATCCTACCAAAGTGCTGGGATTACAGGCATGAGCCATGCACCCAGCCTAATTTTTATACTTTTTGTAGAGACTGGGTTTCTCCATGTTTCCAAGGCTGGTCTCAAATTCCTGGGTTCAAGCTGTCCTCCTGCCTTGGCATCCCAAAGTGCTGGGATTACAGATGTGAGAAACCGCACGTAGCCGAAGGGAAAAATTTTGAATAAGGAAGTCTCTTAGCACAAAGAGATCAGCCCATGTGGGTGGCTCCTGCCTCTGTTTTCAGGGGAAGATGGACATGCCATGAAATAAGAGGGAAATTTCTATTTGTTTTTTGTTTTTTGAGATGGAGTTTGGCTGGGTGCGGTTGCTCACGCCTGTAAACCAAGCACTTTGGAGGCCAAGGCGGGCGGATCACCTGAGGTCGGAGTTCAAGACCAGCCTGACCAACATGGTGAAACCTCATCT